CCCCCCGCACTCATTCTGGCGAGATCGAAAGATGCGCCGCGCGGAAGCCAGCGAGCAAGGTGCCCGCTTGCCGCTTTCCCCCGCGTGGTCTGGGAGCCCCCGCCCCTCCGCCTCCGCCGCGCCCCCCGGGGCGCCCCCTCCCTCGACCCCCCCCCTCTGCTCTGTCATCGCCGCGCGCGGATCGACCGCGCTCGGGCCCGCGCGGAAGGAGTCGGAGAAGATCCTCGCGCCGGCGTTGCAGAAGGAGGACGGGCGAGCGAATGCAGGTGGCCTCTGGGGGGTGAGCCCCTGCGTCAGCTGGTTCGTCTCGCTAATTACGGGAAGACCGCGCGGCTGGCCGCGCGTTCAGAAGGCAGGCGCCGCCCCCGCTGTCGCGCGCCCCCTCGTGCGCTGAGAGTGCCCTGCAGCCGCTCAGCAACAGCGAGACATTCTGATGGGGCCAGGGGCCGGGCGCATTTCGGGGCGGGCCCCGTCGCATACCCTCCCCGACCATGGCGCCGCCGCTGAGCAAACTGAGAGATATTGAACGACTGCGCGCGCCCTCGGACACTCGCCCACGCCGCGGGCGCGCGAGGCCCCCCACCTCAGTAGAACATCAGAGACGGCAGCTCTAATCCGAGAAAGACACACGCACGCGCGCACACTCGCACACACACACGAAGACACGCGCACGCACGAACACGCACGCGCGCACACGCGCGCGCACATGCGCGCAGACGCGCACGCACACACACACACACACACACACACACACACACACACACACACACACACACACACACACACACACACACACACACACACACACACACACGCACACGCACGCACGCACGCACGCACGCGCGCAAGCGCGCACACGCACACACACACACACACACACACACACGCACACACACACACACACACACACACACACGCGCGCGCTCGCAACTAGCGCTGACGCCAGAACCTGGATTAGCGCGCGGCGACCCGTCTCCGCCCGAGACCCCCCGGAAACCACTGCGCCGCCCCATCGGCGCCCATCCTCTCCCGGGCGCCGCCGGCCGTCTCAGCTCCCTGGTCTTGGCCTCCGACAGCTGCCCGCAGTGCTCAACCACCTCTGTCTCCGCCTCATGCTACCGGTTATTTAAGGGCGCGGCGAGAGCACGGGGCCCATCGAGACCGGCGCGGCTCCCGCGGTCAACGTTAAAGAAAAAAAGCGACGGAGCAGCGGGCGAAGAAGCGACTCCTGGCACTCGGGCGCCACCGTGCCAATCAGCACCTTCAACAGACGAACCTCGTTCACTGGGTCTGCGGGAAGCACTTCGTGAAACTGCTCGGCGATCCGAAATGCGGGGCGTTGGCTGAACTTTGCGGGGTCAAGAACGGGCCGTTCGGCCCCGGCGTCGCGGCGGCGACCGCCGCGGGAGCTCGGCGCAGTGGCGCCCAAGCACGCGCATTGGGCGCCCAGAGCGACAATCGTGACCTCCATCTCGCTCGCGATGCCTGCGGGATGGGGTCGCGTAGACGCTTCCAAGCCAAGAGAAACCTCCGATGGCCTCGCCGACGACGCTCCTCCGAGTCGGAACCGGCCGGAGCAACTCGCGCCGTGAACCGCAAACCCCCCGGACAGCGCGACGCGGGAACCCGCCCCACCCCCCCGCCAGAGCCCCCCCGCCCCGCGCGAACGATATTCCAGAAACCAGCCACGCAGACCACACAGTGAGCAGATGGTGTGAGAGTCGCAACGATATTCTGAAGGCAGCGCTTATCCAGCCCCACAACGTCGCGCGCGCTCGGCGCCCGCACACCCCCATGGCCCGCGCGCCGGCGGGCCATTGCGCCCATGCCCCGACGTTCCCGCAACCGCTGGATGGCCGTGACTGAGCAGCTCAGCGAGGCAAACTGCAATGAACTTGAGAAAAGCCACCGCGGAGCTCCATTTTCAGCTGAACGGCCATAAGAATGCCCGCACGGAGCTCCTAAAAAACGACGGCCGCGTCGACTTCGGGGCCGCGAGGTCACTGGAGACGCGCGACCTGCTTGTCACGCGACTTCCTAGCCAGTCGGAAAAGGGCGCGGGCCCCAAGATATGAATACGCGCTATGGGCAAGGCGAGCACGGGCCATCCATGCACAGGGCGAGCGGTTGGGGGGGGCGGCGGGGTCATCCAGCCAGGCGAAAGGAAATTGAGACAGCGCGTCGTCTCAATCGATCTGGAGACGGTGGCCCAGGCCCAAGACATCGCAGAGGTCATGGGGCTTGCGCTACTCCCGCGCCGGCTTACCAGCGATGGTGATGCGCTCACCTAAAAGGGGGCGCATCTTAGAATCTCCCCGAACCTCACCCGCAAGCACGGTGCGCGCTGCGACCCGTCTACCTCCGCAAGCCCCTCGGCATTGACGCGACGGCGCGCAATGCCTTCCAGCTGCCGACGGGCCGCCGCAGGGGATCGACAAGACAACGACCTGTGCCAGGATCGAGCCCGGCATGGACCAAGGGCCCTCGCCCCAAAGGTCGGCGGTCGGCGGTGGACAAACCTCCCTGTAGTATACCTCCATTTAGTGAAAACGGCCTGGGGCCGAAACCGACGGACCTGAACCCGCAAAATGACGGCCGCGACGCCCTCTCGCGAACCGAAAACGGCCAATTCCTTAATCGACGTGTCAGGGTGGGAGGTCTGTCCAGCCCCGAAAAAGCCTCCCCGCGGCCGGGCGCGGCCAGGATTGAACCTAGCATGGACCTTAAACCTAAACCCGAAAAGCCCTAAACCCTAAAGGGTTTAGGGCCCTCGGCCCGAAGAGGCCCCCCCGCGGTCGGGCGCTGGCCCTTCCGCAGACGATTCACTCTACCCTGTGCCGTGGCTCGTTGGCCTTTGCGCTCGCTCCTGCCGAAACCCTGCCAACGCCGCTGATCGTAGCAGGCGCGCACTCTGCAAAACGCATAGCCTGGTCGGAGTACAAGCTGGTGCTTGCTTCTCCGTGCCAGTTCTGCCCTGGGAGCCGCGTCGGGGCCTTCAAGTGGCCTTCCAGACCTGGCCGAGGGGCGTCCAGCCTCCTCGGAGGCCCCTTCCGTTTCCCCGACCCCAATGACAACGCCGCTGATCGCAGCAGACGCGCGCTCTCTCCAGATCGCATAGGCCGAATCGGATTACACGTCGGTCGGGAAACGTACATATGCAAAAACCCATGAAGTAGGAAGGCGGATTTAGTAGATTGGCTCCAGGCCCTCAAAGACAATTCGCCGGCCCAACGGGCCAGAGGCGTGCTAAGATCTCCGGTAACTTGTTAACTTCTAGTTCGCGCGCGCGGAGCGGCCCCTGGGGGCCCCCGGACGAAAAGTACCCCTGCAAGGTCCCGAGAGAAGCCCGGGAGAAGCCACCAGACCACTCCAGGGGAGGGTATTTTTCGACACCCCTCACGAGGATCGTGGCCTCCGAGGGGGGAGCCGCAATCGACTACCCCCAAGAGCCCCCCAAGAGGCCCTGGGGCCTCCAAAACGCCGCCAAGGAGCCCCAAGAGACTCCCAAGAGGTCCCCAAGAGGCCCCCAAGAGGCCCTAAAGAGGGCTCCAGGGCCGGCGGCATGAGCGAAGCGATTAAATAACAAAACACGGCAAAAGCGTGTCGACTCTTGAAGTAGGAAGGCGCTTGAGGTAGATTGGGATCTAGGAGTCCAGAAATACCTACTTTCAACCACCGCCGTGTACAACCTGGCGCTGGCTTCCCCGCGCCAGCTCTGCCCTGGGAGCCGGCGCCAGGGCCCGCAGGAGGCCCTCCAAACCTGGCCGTGGGGCGCCCAGCCTCCTGAGAGGCCCTGTCCGCTTCCCCGACCACCCCGCGACGCTCCGCGTGCCCCCAGCAGAGCCGCATCTCGACATTTCCAGGAGCCTTGAAAATATGCTTCTGGCCACCCCACCCCCTCTAAGGGACCCTGGGGGGGGGTCCGGCCGAGGGGCGCCCCGACTCCTGAGAGGCCCCTTCCGCTTCCCCGAGCCCTCCACGACCCCAGCGCCCGTCCCACTCGCGCTCGGGGCTTGCGGCGGCCCATCCTTAACCGCGTCAGCTGCCTCGGATGAAAGGGCTCCGATTTCCGCATTGAGTTGCAAAATGCTAAAGACGTGCGCAGATCATTCTCTGCGTGCCATTTTGGGTATGCTAGCGAGGCTGCTCCTAGCTTTACACCTCTGTCCGCAGCCTTATTGCCCGGGAAGTGGGTTTCCGCCTACGGCTCGGCTTTCGACTACCGTGACATCTGCCTCTATTTTTACGACTAGATTGCGTGTGGGCCCAGGCCGCCTAAATCCGAAACAAGGAACCAAGACCATCTCTATTGGCTGGCGTGCAGGTTCGAACAGCAAGTCTACCATTCCAGACCGCGAGCGAATCCAGCCACTACATGTTCGCAATAAAACGAGATCGTCAGCGGTACCGTGCCCGCTTGCAGTGACATGCATACTGCGTGCAGCTCTGCTCTGAAAATGGACTGCTCATCCTGCGACCGCGGCAGAGGCCCGTACACGTCGAAGTATTGCTTTCCGCTGCTGTTGACCTGCGCGAAACACCACCCCGCTCGCTTGATGGTAGCGTGTCGGCCGTGCAGCAACGAGCCGTCCGCGTAGACGTCGCCCGTGATTAAGTCCGGGGCCCCTCCTAGCGTGTAAGCCCTGTCAGAAATACACTGGTCGGGGAGTTTCGTGCGGGGGTCCTGCACGATCCCTCGTCCACAGCGGAACTCGTTAGCAGCCGAAGTAATGCTGGTGGCCCCTAGCTGCTGCACTTCTGGATGCCCAGCCTGCTGCCGCGCGGTTTGGCGCGCAGGGCGGCAGAAACAACGATTTGAGCAGGGACAGACCGTCCCGGCATTCCTATAGTCATACCACGAAATGTTCTTAGAGCCCAAAAAATTCTAGTAACAATGTTCTTAGAACATGTACCCGATGTGATAGAACAGGACAGACTCCGCCAGAAATGTTCTAAGAACATGTCGTGGAAACTATAAAAGGTTCTTAGAATAGTGTTTGGTGGGGCTATAGGCGAGCCGGGACGCTTGGCCGCTGCTTGACTCTCCACCGCACGATGAACAACGCGCAAGGCGGCAGAAACAACGATGCTTATGAGTCGGCGGTGGACAAACCTCCCTTTAGTAGACCTCCCCTCAATGAAAACGGCCTGGGCCTGGGACCCGCAGAATGAGGCCCTCTCGCGAACCGAAAACGGCCAATTCCTTAATCGACGTGTCAGGGTAGGAGGTCTGTCCAGCCCCGAATGAGTCCCCTCTCCACCGCACGATGGAACACCGGCTGCTGGTTGCCGCCCCCTTGTCGAAGAGGCGCCGCCGGCTCCGCATGCCGCCCGCGAAAACATCGCGAGGGCTCGCGTGCGCTGCTCCGGCGTCCACGCTCGGGGCGGGCTCGATAAAGCAATTAGCGATTCCAGCCTCATCCCTAACCAGCCTCGAACTGATCCCTATCCCTAAGATGGGCGAGCAAAAAGCGAGGTCAATCTCAGGGATAGGCTCTGAGAAACTGAGGGAGTCCTTAAGATCGGCATCGAGGTGAGGTGATGCCAAACAGAGGGATAGGGATATGTTTCAAACTGGTAAATCCCCCAGCGTCGGGTCCACTCCCGCTGGAGCTGGGTTTCGCATTCCTGTACGACCTGCGCGTGCAGCCACCAAGCATCGACGAGGCGCAGGTGGTCGGCTCGGACCGAGCCGATGGTGAGCGAAACTGGTGAGCGAAACGGTCGCCTGGGACTGCCAGCCAAGCCTACTCGCGGTGGCTGAACACGCACCCGCAAGCCCGCAAGACCTCGAACCAAGGTCGAAGGTCGCTGGGACTGCGATAGGCGAATGATCCAGCGTTTCCAGGCGACCGTGAGGCGGTCTGCGAGCGCGGGGTCACTCACTGCTTCCTTCCATGGTCCACTCGATTACGGGGCCAGAGCTTGCGACGTGGGCGGGGTCCACGCCTTCGCCCAGCAGAACAAGCGGCGTTGATCGCCCTGCTACGCTGCCGCCGAAAGAGCTGGCCAGTGGTTGGCGCTACGGAGAAGGGGGAGGGGGAGAAGGGGGAGGTTGGGGAGGTGAAAGGGAGGGTAGGGAGGGAGTGAGAGAGGGACGGTGGAACAGGAGGTGAGAGTGTGGTTAGGAGGTGTATCTTGGAAGCAAGCGGAAGTTACGAGGGAGTATGTAAGGGAGCAGGTGGGGGAGGACGGGAGGAGAAGAAAAGGAGGATTGATTTTTACAGCACTCACTCATAATCCAAAAAAAAGGTCTGTAGGGAAAATCCACTGCATGGCCATACGTACTTCAGGGGGTTGGGGAAGGGGCAAAACTACGACAAACGACCCCTAACAGAAAGTATACCTCCAATTACGTAGCGCCATAACCATTTCATCTGGTGTATGATCTCGGAGTTCGGGCCCTTCATACGCTATGGGGGGCTACCTGCGTGCTTCCTTCCTAAACGCCATTCTGGGGACTTCCGTCGCCGTCGTCGGCGGCGCTGTCGCCCGCTGCCCCCGCCGTCGGCCGCGGTCGCAGCATCGCCGCCGCCGCCGGGGCTGGCCCTGCAATATCGCCGCGATCGCCGCCGCCGCCTGTGGAAACCCTTAGGATATATCCATCGAAAACCATGGGACATCGGTTGGTTCCTTAAGGAGTTCCTTAAGACATCCATAAGTTTGCTCAGGACAGTATCAGGACCGCTGCTGCCGACGCAGCGGCGCCTCGGCCAAGGCCAATCACTGGCGAGACAAAGCACCGTATCCCAGGCCTCGCAGGCCAGGCTCCTGGGCCGCACAAGGCGCGGGACGCACCCGTGCGACCGCGCAAGCGCGAGATCGCGTCCCCGAGCACCGAGCCCCGAGGGCGCGAATACTGATCCGCAGTACAAGTACCCCCTGACCTTATGTCGGGCGTGTCCCCCTACAGGGGGATTCTCGACGAGAAAGGAAAGAACACCACAATCATACCCCAAAAAGGACAAACAATCCTCAAAAAATGATCCCCAGCCTATTTTTGGATCTTTGTTTGACTATGTTTGGGGTATTTTTTATTTTTCGTCGAAAATCCCCCTGTAAGGGACAGGCCCGACGTAACCCTAACCCTGTGGGAGGGGACCTTCGGAAAGCCAGAAACATGCGGCTTGGAGGACGGAGGACCTTTTCAGCAGATGCAACGAACCAAACAGCCCAGAGTGAATATCCCTAGCGTAGAGACGTTTTTTATTTTTTTTTGTTTTTTTTTTCTCCTCATCGCTGTCGCGAAAAAACCCCTCGAGGAGGGCCACTGGATCCCGGATCTCGCAGCGCGAATGCACGAGTGCTTGGGCTGCCGGGGCGGCGCGCGCTAAGCGGCCCTGGCATCGCAGAGCAAAATTGCACGCGAAGATGAATGGAAAATCAACGCCTCTTCCGTCCAGCCTTGCTGGAGTGAATCGCACTGGCCTCTCACACTGCAAAGCCACATTGAAGCATCGCGCAGGAAAAACGCAGAACATGTCATGTGCTGCCATGGCTTCGGAAAAGAAAAACCGAGACAACAATTCGCCGGCCCAACGGGCCAGGGCGTGCTAAGATCTCCGGTACCTGATTAACAGTATTTCTAGTTCGCGCGCGCGGGGCGGCCCCTGGGGGTCCCCGGGCGAAAAAAAACCCGGCAAGGTCCCGGCAAGTCCCCGGCAAGGTCCCGGCAAGGTCGGGCCAGAGATGCCGGAGTTCTGTTTCGGAGTCCAAGAGGGATCCAGATCGGTCCAAGAGGGCCCCGAGAAGCTTTCTAGACGGTCCAAGAGAGGCCCGAGACGGCCAAAGATCGCCCGAAGACGCCCCAGATGGCCCCAAGACAGCCCAAGAGGCCTCCAAGACGCTCCAAGGGCCTTCCAAGAGGCCTCCGAAGAGGGCCCCGAGTTGCCAAAATCGTTGATGTTCATGTGTTTTTTCTATGTTGTTTTGCGTTCTGGCCTTTTCGCTTCCGGACGCTCCAAGAGGGCCCAATGGGCCTTCAAGACTGCTCCAAGACGGCCCACGAGGCTCCCAAGACGGCCCCGGAGCGGCCCAAGAGCGCCCCCCAGACGGCCCAAGCGCTGCCCAAGGCGGACCAAGAGGCCCCAAGACGGG